AGTTCAAATCTCCACCAAAGTAAAATATTATCTCATAATCCATTGTTTCTTGCAAGTAGCGTAGAACACGCTTTGTAGCTCTATAGTGCACTTGGCTTGTTTCTTGCATGAATATGGATAATAAATTTGAAGCAAACATAATATCTGACCTTGTTGAAGTAAGATATAACAAACTTCCAATCAAGCTCCTATAAAGTGAGCTATTAGCTTTCTTTTCTCCATCATCTTTTCTGAACTTCTCATTTGCTGCTAATGGTATGACCACAAACCTGCAATCCATTATTTTGAATTTTTGAAGGATACTTTCAGTATACTTCTTTTGAGAAACAAAAATTCCTTCCTTCACTTGAGAAACTTCGATGCCCAAGAAATAATTTAGCAACCCAAGATCACTCATTTCTTAGGCTTGCATCATATCTTGCTTGAACTTTTGCACCATCTTCACATCATTTCCTGTAAAGAGCAGATCATCCACATAGAGACAAACAATGATAATGTTGTCATGTTATTTATTCACATACAAAGTGGCTTCACATTTACTTCTCTGAATATTATTTTTCAGAAAGTATTTATCCATTTCATTGTACCAGTCTCTTGGAGTTTGCTTCATCTCGTAAAGAGCTTTTTTTAGCCTGTACACCTTCTCTTCTCCCCCTTGAACAAAAAATACTCAAGGTTGCTCAACATAAATTTTTTATCATGATTTATATTAAGAAATGCAGATGTAACATCAAGTTTAAATATCTTACATTTCTTTTGTACGCAACAACAATTACAGTTCTAATTGTCTCAAGGCGACCAACTGGAGAGAAAGTTTCTTAAAATCAATACCTAATTTTTGCGTGAAGCCTCTGACAGTCAACCTTGCTTTTTTACTTTTGAATATCTCCTTCCTGATTGAGTTTGATTTTGTAAATTCATTTTAGACTAACAACTTCTCTTTCTCAGAGTATAGCCACAAGCACCCAAATATTATTTTTCTCAATCATCCGAATTTCTTCTTCCATGAATTTCTTCCAAACATCATGCTTTATAGCTTATTCATAATTTTCTTGCTCAACACCAACAAAGTTACATATCTGATAAATGTCACTCAATATCTTTGTTCCTCTTAGAAGCGGTTTCTTCATCATCTGAATCTGACATTTTTCCCACTTGAGGGACATCTTCCTCTTTCTTATCCTTTTATTAATTTGAAGATATGATAGCAATATTCTTTATCTTTTTATCCTTCCAATTGAATGTTGTTTTTTCATCAAAAATGACATCTCTACTAATAACAAGTTTGTTAGTTTTGACATCGAGAAACGTATATGCTTTTATCACATCACTATAACCAAGAAATATATATTTTTCACTTTTTTCCATCCAATTATGTTCTTTTCTCCGCAGGTATATGAGCATAACAAATTTATCCAAAAAATTTAAAATGACTTACAAAAGGTTTCATTCCACTCCAAGCTTCAACATGTGTCTTGTCTTGTATTGCCTTTGTCGGGCACCTATTAAGGATGTACACTGTTGTATGCGCTACTTCTGCCCAAAATTATTTTGGCATCCCTTTCTCATTCATCATAGGTCTGGCCATTTCAATATTTGTTCTATTTCTTCTTTTAAATACACCATTTTGTTGAGGAGTATACCCTGTTGTAAGTTGCTTCAAAATACCTTCATTTTTGCAATATTCTTCAAATTCTCGACTTGTGTATTCACCTCCTCTATCACTGCGAATGGTTCTAATGCTGCAACATTTTTCTTCTCAACAAGGGCTTTAAATTTCTTCAATGTAGAAAATGCTTCTGACTTTTCTTTCAAGAAATAAACCCAAGTCATTCTTGAGAAATCATCAATAAAGATGAGAAAATAACTGACTTCCAAGATATGGAGTCTTCATTGGTCCGTAAATATCGGTATGGATTAGTTCCAAAAGTACACTTGCTCTCCAAGACACCCCTTTTGGAAAGACTTCCAATGTTACTTTCTCATTATACAACTTTCACATAGATCTCAGGAAGGCCTTGCACCATGTCCTTTTGCTTATAAGTTTCACACCATGAAAATTAAAGTAACAAATATTTTGTTTCAGATCCATGAATCATCTACAATTTCATTTTTAATGCATTGTAATGAAATTGCAAAGGGAAGTTTCTTTTTTTATCATCTTTACTTCAACAATGACTTGATTTGGCTCAATTTTATCATAAATCCTGCAATAATTATATCTAAACACAAGAGAATAACCATTTTTCATGAGTTAACCAACACTAAGCAAATTCTCTTCCAAGTTAGGAACATAAAGAACATCATGAATTTGTTTACCGCTTCCTTTCATATGTTGATCGAAATGGTACATTTACCTTTTGCATCAACTAAGGCTCCATTCCCCTTTCTCACTTTAGAAGTGATGTTATTATAAATGAGGAAGGTCTTTTCATATCCAGTCATGTGATAACTACAACCACTATCAACATACCATTCATTTCTTTTTGTTGAAGCATAAGATTTAGAAGCAAAGAAAAGGTTTTCTTCCCTTTCTTCCTTGTGTTATCCACAAAAATTTGCTTGCTCCCATTTCTTATGTAAGCAATCCTTTTTAATGTGGCCAAACTTTTTACCAAAGTTACATTGAGGCTTGCCTTTGTGTCAATATTTTTCTACATTGTGATTAGTCTTTTTCCAAACTTAACAAAAAAAGCTAGAGTTTTTCTCACTTTTTTGTCAACCTTCTTGGAAGAACCATCATGATCCTGCTTCTTTTTTGTCTTGTAATTCTTCTTCTGTTGATTTTTTGAGAGATTTTTAAAATTCTCATTTGCTTTAGATTAGAAAGTCATCTCTTCGGGTTGATCTTAACGAAAAAAGTTTTGCTTCTCGCGTGCACAAAATTATCCAACTAGCTCTTTGATGGAAAGCTTAGAAAGATCTTTTGTCTCCTCAGTGATAGCAATTACAATATTCTCATACTTTTATGTGACACTCATTAGAATCTTTCTCACAACTTGTTGGCCAGATATTATATCACCATGATTTCTCATTTCATTAACAATATTCATGACTCTTGTGCAATATTCATCTACTTTTTCAGATTCCATCATTTTCAAATTTTGAAACTCTCTTCAAAGAGTTTGAAGATTTATAGCGCGTACCTTTTTGTCACCATACACCTCAGTTTCCAAAGAATCCCAAGTTACCTTTGCAGTCTCACAAGTAGCATTTTTTGCAAAATATGCTCTTGAGACTTACATTTGGATTTTGCTCAAGTCTTTTGCATCTTGACGATACTTAGCCTCAAGATTTTTCATCTCTACTGTTGTAAGATCACCATCGTTTTCTGGTTCTTCAAAGCCATTTGCAATAATAGTCCATAAATCTTCATCTTTTAAATGTGTTCTCATTCTTATCTTCCAGTATTCAAAATCAGTTCATCAAAAAATGGAGTACGAATAATTGAAGAATCAACACCTTCATTTTTTTGGCTGCCAAATTTTTTCTTCACCTAACCTCATATTAAGAACGAAACCTGCTCTTGATACCAATTTGTAGGAAATATGGAAAGAAAATAGTATCTTTATAGAATGCTCAAGTTTATTATAGGCTACTTAAGGTCACTTTAGATGATTACTATCATCAACTACATCTTTATTTATACTAGTAATAATGTAAATCAAAGGTTTGACACAAATAACTAAATACATGTATCACAATTTACTAGGTATATGTATTACGAAATTCTAAAAAGACTTCTTGAAAAACTAAGAGACAATTTCGAAAGACTAAACATAGATGCATTAATCCCAACACTATATATACAATGCAATTCACATTTTATACAATGTATAGAAATGCTGAAAGTTTAGTTGCCAACTAACTTGGCAAGTCACACAAATTAAATCTTTCCATTAGTAGCAATAATAGGTTTTCGTTTTTACAATTATTGTAAGCGGATATTTGGGACTATCTCCTTTTATTTCTTCAGAAGGTCATCGTTACTATTTTGTTTTTGTGGATGTCTATAGCAATTTTGTTTGGGAATTTCCAATGTTTAAGAAATCAGATGTTTCACATATTTTTCTTCAAATTAAGGGACTTGTTGAAAATCAATTCAATATCACCATAAAGTCTATCCAAACAGATGGTGACGGCGAATTTCGTGTGCTCACTCATGTTTTAAATAAGCAAGGGATTCTTCATTGGCTTTCATGCTCCCACACTCATGAGTTGTAACCAAAGTCCCTTAGAAGCTGAAGGAGAGCCTTTTGTTCAGGGGTTTCTTCAGGGATCAAGGAGAATAGAACAGACTTTACAAGGCCATGTCCTTCATGTAATATTTTTGAGTTACAAACGAGTAGACGTGCATGATTGTTCTTGTAATGAAAATGTTCTTTGTGAAACTAGAACTTTTGATGAGAGGATACAAATGTTTGCACACATTTGAAACGCAAAAGTGATTCCACATGCAACCTCAATAGAATATTAACTACTACATCTTTTGGTAAAGGACGACAACCATCCATACTAGATTATCTCCAATTAATAAGAAAGTTCATAATATGATTCTTCCTCCATAATGGACTTAGCAACTCTCGCGATCAAATTGTCATCTGCTCTTAGACTGACATATCTATTCCCCAAAAATGAGCTCGATGTGAATTTCTTATTGTTTTTCTGCTTCTTCACTCACATCAAGTAGCCTTGGAAGATACACAGAAGCAAATGTCAATACTTTTCCACTTTGAGTGCTTGATATATTCCTAAAATATTTCAAAGTCGACGCTTTCTTAAAGCTTATTTTGATAAAATAATACACATTTAGCCAACAATTTAGCAAGTAGTCAAATGTGAGCAAAACACTAAAAAAAATAGACTTTATGTTCGTATCAATGACCAAAGTATAAACGGTACATGATGAATGAGTAGAATCCAATGACCTAATACTAAAAGGTTCATCCAGCTAATAAAATGAAAGATCAAGGGGGGAGGGGGGAATTGGTTTTCAAAACTTGACATCATTGATCCACCTAATAGTTGTACTACTTCATTTGCTCGATCAGTATTATCCTGGTCTTGAGACTCATTTCCTTTCGTAATTAGAGCTGGGCTCTCCTGATAATTGAAAACACAACTGCCAATAGTTCCAAGATCTGTAACTTGTAGGGTCATATAGAACCAGTTATGAAGTTTTTGTCGGTTCAAAAACAATCTTATCATTCTCCCATATACTTTTAGGGCAAGTAGCAGCATCTATAAAGGTTGAACAGTAAACATTTTGCACCAGCTTACCTCTTGTTTCATTTCATATATGGATGTCATACACTTATAACTAACTAACATTGCAAGCGAGTCGCCACGCGATGTAACAACAATTTACAAACATACTCTATATAAAATGCACGTACATATATAGATGGAAAAATCATGAACAGATGAAACTTAAACAATACTCCCCCCATCTCAATTAAAATGATAGTGGGATTTTATCTTTCAAATTGTTAATTATTGTGATTTACAATGCTTTTCACATAATTTGAAAAAAAAAATTTATTATTGAAAAAAACTTAAAGCTTTTGTATCTAAATTTACTGTCAAATTATAGAAATTTCAATCTCAAAATTCATATTAATGCCACGTAAATTAAATCAACCCCAACACTCAGAAAATCTACAATCAACATAAAAAGTAAAAAAATAATAATTTAAGAAAGAAGTAGAAAAACCTTGAGATAATATGTCCTGCTAAAGGACTTACACCAAGAACATCATAATACTCTGTCTGTTTAACCATTTTTATCACTAGAAATATTTTGTACGTATAATCTCTAAGATGAGGCCTCATCCGCTGGTAGAGTATTGAAGTAGTGTTCAATTTGCTTGACTGCATTATCCTCACCCTGAGTGTTGCTTCCTCTCTTTATTGGAACTAAGCTCTCCTTGTAATTGAAAACCCAACAGCCATCAATGTTAGGGTCCAGCTGAAATCCAAGATCTGTAACACGTCTTGTTTTAGGGTCATATAGCACTAGCTGTGAAGTTTCCATGTTCTCGAAAACCATCTTATTGTTATCCCAGATGTTGATAGGCCAATGAGCATCTATATGAGGTTGAATAGTATGAACTTTGGACCAATTTCCCTCTTGTTTCATTACCCACACATCATATATGGATGTCATAGGTTGGCCACTTGTTAACATTACAAGTGAGCCGCCATGCAATGTAAGCGTCCCCCAATGTTTAGTTGGAATATCTGGGACTTGCATCTCCCCAAACTGTTCACAGACCATGTCAAACGAGAGAATCATGAAGATGCCATCGAGGCCCCTTGAAAGCCAATAATAAACTCCGTTGAGATAAGTGGCATCAAGGGGTGCAGATAAGATAGAACTGGGAGGGAATTTGGGAGTAAGGCGTCTCCATGAATTGTTGCATGAGGAATAGACACATGTATAGACACGATTATTATCACTTAGTCCAAGATCATCCCAGAATACTCGAATCCATACAACCTTGTAATCTAGAGTCGACATGTCAAATCCTAATCCATACTGATGATCATTATTGTGAGACAAAAAACCCTCAATCTCAAATGGCGCAGGAGGCAGAGACCTAAACTCTTTGGTGGCAGGATTCCACAAACCCAAGCAGACATCTACTCCATAAAGCGACTTCTCCACTAAGAATAATCCATTGAATGGACCTGCAACACACGTGAAATCAGTGACCCTCGGAAGCTGAAGGAGAGTTTTTTGTTCAGGGGTCACACCTGGAACAATTTCTTCAGGGAGCAAGGAGAATACAACAGACTTTACGATGGGGTGTAATTCAGGTGCCATTTTCATGTTGCAAACAAGGAGACGAGCACAATTATTGTTGCGATATTGAAAATGTTCTTTTATGAAACTCGGACTTTTGATGAGAGCACACCAGTTCTTTCGCACACATTTAAAACGCAAGAGTGATTTCACGGGCAATCTCAATAGAATATCAACCACTACATCTTCTGGTATAGGACGACCACCATCCATACTGGTTAAAAAAAAAGTCATGTTACAAACATATTTAAAGAGAACATATATACAAACATGTTTTACTAGAACACACAGTAAATTGGACTCATCAATAATTAGGAGAAGACAAGTAAAGTAGTCATGTGGTTTGCTAGGGTAATTTAAATACCTTTTTTCAACTAATATCAATCAACAAATTCTTGGAAATGGAAAGAAATAAAACGAATTAGCATGAACAGAAACAATGGCAGAAAAACACTATATCCCCAAATAGAACAAATTCAGATTCAAATTCAAAATAAATAATCAGTCAGAATTCTAACCTTACAAGTTGATGAAGCAGAACTATCAAAAATTGATTGAGTGGTGTTGTAGAAATAGCTCAATTGTTGACTACTTCCTCCTACTTCTTGTCATTTTATTTCATAGTACAACTCCTCTTAATTCCTTTCTAGGGTTTTAATTACCTTTGGGCTCACCAAGGCCCTCTTAGTTATAAATTCATATGTCTTAGTAGAGCCGTTTATATGGGCTAGATTCATTGGCAGGCCTGACTTAACTCGTCATTTCATAGAACTGGACTACTATTTTTTAAGCCCATTTAAGAATAGTATTTTTTAGCCTGACCTAAATAAGTTAGTTGATTTGTGGGGTATTGAGATATATGGACAAGAGCAGCTTGTGGGCCAAATAAATCTATTTCTTAAACGTTCTTGAATGTGAATTTTATATCTGTCATGTGAAATAAATTAAGTATAACAATAAAGGATTAATTAAGTAGTCAATAACATAGGCTCGAAACTATTAGTAGAACATTGAGTGCATGATATGCACATATTACTCCTTACTCAGAATATCTACAATCAATCATATAAAATAAAAAAAAATTAAGAAAGAAGTAGAAAAACCTTGAGATAATATGCCTACTAAAGGACTTCTTACACCAAAAACATCATAATACTGTCTCTTTAACCATTATTATCACTATAAATATTTTGTACGTCTAATCTCTAAGATGAGGCCTCATCCTGAATGAAAATCTTGAATTTGCCACTGGCCAGTTTTAGGGATGACACTCCCTCTGTTAGTGTTAACTAACCAAGAAAAGCGAACAAATGGAAATTCATTCAAGATATTCTAGTAAGGAACTAGCCATTTGCTTGTCTAGACTTTTCATTAGCCATAAAGCAGTAAACGACTTTCCGGTTAGTTGGTGAGTTATTTACGTGTTAAAATCCGCCCATCAAGTATGGTATTTGACTACCGGTTTAAATGTATAAGTTGAGAACAAAACATATGCATTATTTTATACAAGGCATAAGATGGAATCACTACAACAAAAATAACTTTTAGCGGCATTAAATATTGACATTAATAAAGAGTGCTAAAGTCTTTACCGGCATTAGTAAGTGTCATTAGAATCAATGTCTCTAAAGAATTTAGGGACATATACAACGAGTGACAATTGCCGCTAAAAATACATATTTAGCGGCAATTAAGAATTAATTGCCGCTAATGATCATTTTTGTTGTAGTGGATAACGAAACTCGGCATAACTAATTAATATGTCAACTCTTTCGGTTAAGATCAATCAGCAACACTTGGAAATTTAGCAAGTTTAAGTTGGCACTTTTTGCAAGTATTTCTTAAAGTTAAAATTTGAAAGACCAAAAGAATGATCAAAATCGGGCAGGATATAATTTAGAAGCAAAACCCTACATTACAAATTCAAAAAAAATAAATAACAAAATATATTATAGAAAGAAATTGAAATCTAATTTTACAAACGAGGATGATATCTCCTTCCTTCATTATTACTATACTTGTTTGCCACTCCAGGGTGTTTTGATTAGGTTATTCGTGGAGAGTTTTGGCATCAACATCTTTTTTTTCGCCCGATGTTTGAAGCCCTTATTGAAACACCGATTGAATTCGAATTGCGCACCGTAGGACCCATTCTGAAATGACGCTTCCCAACATGCCCATTCACATTAAATACTAACTAGAATCTTATTACATTTTTTAACTGTTAAACTAGAAACAAGACATAGGATAAGGGAAATATTCATTATTAACTTCACTTCTCCTTGTTAGTATCAAAAGTTTCTCGTTTAGGAAATAGGAAGTTTTAAAGGACTAATTATATCCAATGGTTGGTTCTATTTATGAATCAATCCCTTCGGTGCATTATTTCCATAGGTTCCAACATTGGTAACAAAATATAGCTTTCTCGCTTGAATTGACATATTTATATACTTTTTCCTCATCGTATCTATCACGGATGCCGCTCTTACATTATGAATTATATCATCATATATATTTTTTATTGTTCCGAGTATGAACGCGCATCCACCTCACTATCAACATTTCTGCAACATGCATCTTCTCGACATGATCAGAGTTCTTGACTGGCCAACTTTCATTTCCATACAACAATTTACAAACATACTCTATATAAAATGCACGTACATATATAGATGAAAAAATCATGAACAGATGAAACTTAAACAATACTCCCCCCATCTCAATTAAAATGATATTGGGATTTTATCTTTCAAATTGTTAATTATTGTGATTTACAATGCTTTTCACATAATTTCAAAAAACAAAAATTTCTTATTGAAAAAAACATAAAGCTTTTGTATCTAAATTTACTGTCAAATTATAGAAATTTCAATCTCAAAATTCATATTAATGCCACGTAAATTAAATCAACCCCAACACTCAGAAAATCTACAATCAACATAAAAAGTTAAAAAAATAATAATATAAGAAAGAAGTAGAAAAACCTTGAGATAATATGCCCTGCTAAAGGACTTACACCAAGTACATCATAATACTCTGTCTGTTTAACCATTTTTATCACTATAAATATTTTGTACGTCTAATCTCTAAGATGAGGCCTCATCCGCTGGTATAGTATTGAAGTAGTGTTCAATTTGCTTGACTGCATTATCCTCTTCCGGAGTGTCGTTTCCTTTTTTAATTGGAACTAGGCTCTCCTTGTAATTGAAAACCCAACAGCCATCAATGTTAGGGTCCAGGTGAAATCCAAGATCTGTAACACGTCTTATTTTAGGGTCATATAGCACTAGCTGTGAAGTTTCTATGATCTCAAAAACCATCTTATTATTATCCCAGATGTTGATAGGCCAATGAGGATCTATATGAGGTTGAATAGTAAGAACTTTGGACCAATTTCCCTCTTGTTTCATTACCCACACATCATATATGGATGTCATAGGTTGGTCAGAGTCACTTGTTAACATTGCAAGTGAGCCGACATGCAATGTAAGCGCCCCCCAATGTGCAGTTTTAATATCTGGGACTTGCATCTCTCCAAATTGTTCGCTGACCATGTCAAAAGAGAGAATCGTGTAGATGCCATTGAGGCCCTTCGAAAGCCATATACTTTTAGGCAAATGAGCAGCACCTATAAAGGTTGAACAGTAAACATTTTGCACCAGCTTACCTCTTGTTTCATTTCATATACGGATGTCATACACTTATAACTAACTAACAATGCAAGCGAATCGCCACGCGATGTAAGCCTCACCCAGTGTTTACCTGGGCCTAATTGCATCTCCCCAAATTGTTTGTTGGCCATGGAAAATGACTGGATCTTGCATATGTTATTATTGAGAACCCTACAAATCCAATAATAAACCCCATTGAGATATGTGATGTAATAAAACTTGAGGCAAAAGTGGAAGGGAACTGTAGCTTCTTCCATGAGTTATCGCATGAGGAATAGACATAAACAGACATATGAGGGTAATAGCCCTATCCCTGTGCCCAATCTGAATTTATGATTATAGTCACATAAGAATTGCTCAGTCGCAAAACGCTCAGGAGGCAGAGGCCGGAACTCTTTGGTGGAAAGATTCACAAACTCAAGCGGACACCGTATCCACAAAAAAATTCTTGCATTAGGAATAAGCCATTAACTGGGCTAGCAACACAGTTGAAATTCTCGATCCTTGAAAGAAGAAGGAGAATTCTTTGTTCAGGGGTCACACCCGGAACTATTTTTCATACAAGACAAGTAAAAAACTGGTAATGCTTCTCTAGATTTTTCATTAGCCAATCAATGATTTCCTTTCTGCTTTCCTCTACATCTCAGCTTAGCATATACAACAATTTTGCAGGTTAGTGTGTGAGTTATTTATGTATTAAAATCACCAGCACATCAAGTACTGTATTTGACTACTGGTTTAAATGTATAAGTTGAGAAGAAAACATATGTATTATTTATGTAAGGCAAAAGATGGAATAATCAAACTCGGCATAACTAATTAATGTGTTGACTCTTTCCATCAAGATCAATCGACAACACTTGGCACTTCTTGCCAGTATTTCTAAAAGTTAAAATATAAAAGACGCCAAGTAGATGGATGGATCTCCTTCCTTCTTTGTTACTATACTTGTTTGCCACTCCACTGTGTTTGCATTGACTTATAAATTTAAAGTAAAATAAATTAGAAATTTTAACTTATGGTTATTGACTTAAAACTAAGGAGTTACAAGCAATTTTTATATTTATTCAATCACTTAAAATAAGTCAATCCAAATATGTTCTTAAATATTTATTTTTATGCCATAAAAATATAAAATAAACTAGAAGTCAAAAGTTGGTATTCTGAACTTATGATTTTTACCTTATAAGATTTTTTAACATTTTAAATATCTTTCCATGTTAATTATATTCAAGCACAGACCAAATGAAATAAATCTATACAACAAAAAAACACTGAAAGTAAATAAAGGAATGTAAAGAGTGGAAATTAAATGGCAATTTTCTTGCCAATCATATCATCATATCATTATATCATATTATATCATATATTATTATAAGCATGAAGCTCAAAACTTAAAAGTTGAATTACCATTTTGCCCTCTAATAAATTAAAACATATATAATTTATATATATATATATATATATATATATATATATATATATATATATATATATATATAATCTTCTTATTCTCATTTCATAATTTTGACCTTTCAAATT